ACTCAAACTAAGGGAGTGACGGACTATCTATAAAGTAAGCTAAAATTGACAAAAATGGCAACAGAAAAAGCCATTTCTTCTGTTTAAAAAATTTTTTACTTTCAAGAGTTTAACTAAGCCCAAATCTTAACTAATCATCATTATAAAACTCAGTAACATTCCTCATCTTCTTGCGGTTGCTATTACTTTTTCGACGATTATTCCCTCCATCATCATCAGAAGAATTTTCATCATGTTGAACATTTGATGGAGCAGCTAAATAAAAATAAATTTTATTAAGTGTTTTGATTTCACTCAAAAAATCATCTGAAATCCCGTAAAATCTAAAGTACAGACGTTTAAGCTAATCCAAACATATATCCTTTCGCAAATTTTCCTATAAATGTATATCAGAAGATAAAGATACATCATTTAGATTTGGTTTCAATGGGTGTGGGCTATGCAGAATAACCTTCCCTAAAGATACATTTTTCAGAAAAAGTAGGCTTATCAAAAATTAAAGTCCGAGTGTGCTAGACTTTCAGTAGCTTGTGATTCATATTCTTATACCGTAATGATTACAACCTCGATAAAAATTGGACTCAAATAAAAAGAATCGGAAATCTCACCATCTTCAGGGCTATCCTCTTCCATGTTATCGACAAGTTCACCTTCTTCAATTTCTTCGTTTGTTCGAGGACTTTGTCGATGACCTAAAAATTTATTTAATATTTCGATTATATTTCCAAAATTTTCCTTAAAAAATTTTACTTAAAACAAAGCGGTCATGATAATCTCTTCTCATTTTAAGTGTTTCAGCGAAAATAATTCAGATTTCGCTCAAAATAAAGTATAACAAGGGAAGATATCGAACTGTGAACAAAAATTTTGCGATATATTTTTGATGTTCGAGAGTTAACAAAAGTCGAGAGTCGGTAACATCCGTTAACTAAATTATTAACATACCACGTCGCATAGTCTGTTTTTCACGATTTTTATAGAATGAAAGTGATGTACTTCGTTGCAGATGTTTACCAGGGCTTTTAGAATCTTAAATAATTTTTTAGAAGAAATTAAAAATTATTAAAGATGAATGCTTTTGAAAAATCAAGTAATAAAGTTTAACGATAGTCAAAAATTAAGACTAATGAGGGCATATCAGTTGAATAAATAGGCATCAAAACAAGTATCATACAGATCTTTCGACAAAATAAAAAATCACATAATGTATTTACTCAAAAAATTACGCTCTTATTGTTTTCCCCCTTTATTCAGAGGAATAAAAATAATTACAACTTAAAAATATTTATAATTAGCCAAATAGCCTTAAATAATTACCGCCTCTGTTAATTAACCCCTTCAGCGAGAGATTGAAACAATAATTACCCAGATTATTAAATTATATTTGAGTAATTAGCGTAGGCGGTTATTTGAAGCGACACCAAAACCAAAAATAGAAACGTAATCCCCGATTTTTAAAATCTTCTACTGATTAAAATTACCTTCGCCTCCAAACGAGATAGCACGTCGCATAGTCTGTTTTCCAGGATTTTTATGGGATGAAAATGAAGCACTATGCTGCATTGGTTTACCAGGTTTATTAATCCCTTAAATAATTTTTTAGAAAAAATATGAAAAATATTAATATTAAAAGAATTAAAGTGTAATATTATAACTTAGAAATGCTTCCAAAAAATTCTACCTAATAAAGTTTAATGAAAGCTTAAAAATGAGAAAACATTTCAAATGCAAATATCCTCTCAATTTCGCAGAGAAATCTCCGATTTCTCGGCCGAACTGGGATCAAACGGAATCCGACACTAGTCTCTTACAAGTACATATACGAAAAACACACACTATACTTTAATCAAATTATTAAATTACCTTCATTTCCAAACGACATAGCACGTTGCAGATGCTTACTCGGACTATTAATTTCAAACTCTTAATAAAAATTTTTGTAGAATTTAAAATAAATTTGAAATTAAAAATAAATTTCAATAAAATTTGAATTATTATTAATAAAGTCAAACTTGTTGGAGGCCTTTTATTTCTTCCACCGAGCGGAATAAGTTGGCCACTTTGGTAGGCCGTCATTTCTAAATTTTAAATTTTAATAATTTTTCGACGAGTCTATTCTTACGTTCTGTTGGCTTTTTTCTGCCTGGAATAACCATCTCTTTTAGTTGACTCTTTTTTGGTGCTCTACGATGTACTGGTTGCACCTCACCTTCTTCTAGCTGCAGATTACTTACATCTTGTTGGGCATTATTAATTTCTTCGTCTTCCATTTTCCATTCGAGATTTAAATCTGAATATTTAAATATATTTAAAAATATTTGAATATTTAAAAATCAGCAAATTCAATGGTCTAACATGAATAAAAATACTCAACTCATTATAAAATAGGGTTTTCCGTATCAAGTAAGATCTATAGTGAGGTTCGACCGCAATATAAAAATCCTTATGCCCATCACATAAATTATAGTCGAAGAAAGAATAGTTTTTCAAATTGGAGCGACTCCATTTCGCCGCGCAGATTTTTATCACACCTAGAATGATAAAAACGGATTCAACCCTCAATTTTTCAATTAAAATTTGAATAATTAGTTTTGTTATATTAATTAAACTCTCTTAAAAAAATTTTTGTTTTGCTGAAAAAATTAGGAGCTTTGTTAGGTAAATTCTACCTATATTACTATGTCCGCCAAAATTATGTCCAAACGGGTTTCTTCCCGGAGGATTGTTGTCATCGCCGCTTCCTCCATGCATCATGCTTTTCGTAAAATTGAACAAGATGCAAATAAAAATAGAAAAATATACTGACTTCATCCTCTTAATTAAGAAATTATTTAAAAAAAATTTTTTTAATAAAATCCTTAAATTTAAAGCTTGGAGGATTACGAAGCAAGCTATTTAATTCCTAAGACTGTGCAGAAGGCGGCGTGGTGTAATAGCTGACACTTCTGCCAGGTTACTGAAGACCCTTTTGGTGTGCTCGACCTTGTTCTGGTTGCACCGTACTATCTTCTGACTGCCAATTACTAGCTAACTAGCTAAAGGAGAGAAATTGCTATAGCCCAGCTGCCTTACTCAAGTTTGTTTGTTGCCAAACGTCTCGTTGACTCTTTCCTTATCAAAGGCGTGAAGGGGAATAATCCTCCCTTAAAGTTTTTAATAATATACTTTATTAATGAATGCTCTTCTTATGGGTTGAATTCGAAAGTCGTAAGTCTTTAAATGAAGTCCTTGTTAAGCGTCTTCCATCGTCTATGAAATGCTGACGTCTTCATTTCTGGCAGTTTTTCCAATAGAACACGTATAATAAGGAAAATAGTATTTATACAGACGATAAAGAAAACTACTCTCATTTATAGAAATATAGACACTCACTTATAGACACTCAGGTAATGAGAGAGTTACAGCTATATATAAAATAGTACGCATCGGAAATCTCGACGTCTCCCTTTCTGGCAGTAGAGAATAAAGATAGCAGTAGAGAAATAAAAAAAATAAGAATAGAGAATAAATTTTAATAAACTTATTATTAGAGTCCGACGTTTTAGGTTTCAGAACTATTTTTGCAACCTTGTAATGTTGAAAAAGCTTAAAAAACGCATTTGACATGGTACCATGCTCCTACATTGGACTATTTGAGACTAAAAAACCAATAACTATTGGCTGGACTTTTATACTAAACACTTTAAGAGCTGACGTCCATACACAAAAAAGATTCTTTCAAATAAAGACAATTAAACAAAAATGTAGGGTAAACTTCTCTTCACCGGGCGATTTTAGATTTTAGACAATTTTTAGCTTTTAAATTAATTTTTTAATTAATTTTTTTTATTTTAATAAATTTTTAATAATTTAATTAATTTTAATTAATATAAAATTAATTTCTATTTTAGACAAACTAGATGTCATTGAAAAAACGCGGAAACAACTGAGAGCGTAGATATAGGGCTGAAATCATAAGAACAATGGGGGACCAATATAATTTTCTGATAAAAATCACGATAGAACCGTTGATTCAAGCCGAATCACATCAAAATCATTTCAATATAATGATTCTAAACAAAATTATAACTAATTAAACATGAACGCTTTGCGATGGAGAAGATAAGGTGTTCAAAATCTCAATGCGATTTAAACGCTGTGTCAGAAGAAGAGTGTTTTCAGAAATATTATGAATTAAAGTGTGTAGGTTTGAATTTCGTTTATTTAAAGATGCTAGAATTTAAGTTCCAGAACTGGATCTGGAGCTGAAAAAATTCAAAAAACCCAAACCGGTTCCTGAGAAATTTGGGAACTTTGCCATCACAATGATTCAATATTTTCAATTTTTGGCATTTCCAAATTTCCGATTTCCTATTTGCAAAATTTTGCATTGCTTTCCGATTTACAATTTTGAGCAGCTTATGATTTCCGCCACTTCCGTTTTCTTACATGCCCTCGCTCTCTGCTATAGAGAGCGACTATTTGCCAGTGCTTGTATAGAGCGTTATCGACGTCGCGCATTATAGATTTAATAAAAATGGAGAGAGAAAAAAATGAATAATTGATTGTGGAGTCGTTAGCCCTACAAAGACTTGGATGTTTTATTAAAATGTTTTATTGAAAATTGAAGTTAAACATAATTGTTGAATTTAATAAAATTAATGTTGAATTTAATAAAATTATACTTAAGTTGCATTTAACCTTTCAGGTAGAATAAAATACAACTATAAATGAGAGTCAAAAATACTTTCGGTGGAATCTCACTTGTATCTTACCTTTCAAGCGGAGAATGTAGAATAATACTCCTTTATTATTCGCGATAAACTATCAACCTATCGGTTAATAACCAGAGGAAAAGAAGGAGTAGAATGCAGGAAATATGCATTTTTGAAAAAAGTCATTTTCTGACATGGTGTTCAATTTACCTTACTTAGTGATGTGCCCCTGATTTAATATATCTCAACTTTTACTCTCAAACAATCTTTTAACACTGTTCAATTTAAACTGCCAAATTTTTAAACTTTTATGTATATTTTTGTGAAGCTATTCAATATTTTCCATTTTGGCATTTCCAAATTTGCGATTTCCGATTTGCAAAATTTTGCATTTCTTTCCGATTTACAATTTTTATAGCTTATGACTTCCGCTATTTCCGATTCTGAAATGCCCGCTTTATCGCACGACTCTGCTATAGCCATTGCTTGAATAGAGCGAATTATCAAAGTCGTGGACCATCTAGACAATACAGCGACCTTATGCAACAACATCTCCAACCGGTCAATTTGACTCCTAGACAAGATCTCCAATCTAGACCTTCCAATATCAGAACACTTTACGAAGGTAAACATAAATATCTGCGGGAAAGCTTAATTTTATTACCTAAATATATCTACGGCCACATTTTTCTATCTAGAGTAGTGTTCCTAACTGTAGCCAAACTAATCAAGAGAAATCAGGATTTAACTTATAATTTTATTTAAGGGCAGGAAAGAGCATCCAATTTTGGTTATTTTGCACGAGGCGGAGAGATTCGATTTGGTTAGAGTTTAATTTATCTAAAAATCATTAAATTTATTGACAAATTATTAAAATTAAGGGGGTCAGTCGGATGGTGCAGACAACAATATGATATCATTTACTCAGCATGGTAATTTTAATTCTATGCTAAAGATTCTGCAGCTGTTTTAACACACCCTTTTAATACCCAAAATCGCTCATAACACCAACTCCTAATAACCTTCGAATCCAAAATATCCATGTTTATATCTATTTTAGAAGTATGAATACCATCCCGAAAATACCTCCAAATCCATCGATATACCTCTTGATCATTTACTGTCACGTAACTATCTTTTTATATACCGATCGGTATCGGGATTTCGGTATTAGCAAGAAATGGGAATCCCTACATGGTTTTGGCCAATTCAGATACCGAGGCCGGTATTCGGATTGATATAAACATTCCAAAATACCGATACCAATTTTGTTTCGGGACCTTGATGCCGGTCAACTATATTATATTGTCATATATTTCGTTTTAATAAATGATTTTTAATCCTTGCCCATCAATTGCCCTTGACCATATTGTTATCCAAATAGAAATTAGAATTGAAGGCAAGAGAAGGAAAAGGGGGGGCATAAAAAACGCGGGCGGATAACACAAGAGTACCTTTTGTTTTATAAATAAACTTAGATGTACCTATTGCTGCTCAGCCTCTAAATGCAGTGCCACATTACCCTACAGGTAGTTTAATATATTTTAAATGAATACCGTATTCCACTATAGGAATTGAACCTCTAGCACCCTTAAAAAGGCTCTTTTGGAGGATGTTACCATAACTTGACATTAATTTGTTGGTAACCGATTCAAAAACAATTATTTTAATAGTTTAAAAAGCAACAGGGCAACTTTATTTTATTATAACCCAAAAATCTCTAGAAATCAAAAATATTTTTGTCAACAGGACCGGTATTAAAATCTGGGCTGTAAAACCGAGATAGGTGTTAACACAAATTTAACTTCTTATGGCTCTGACGTATTATTAGTCAGATTTTATCTTGTTTTAGTAAATAAAATATAAATATTCACTGGAAATTCTTTAAGAAAATTCTTAATATGGATATTAATTAAAAATAAATTTATTTTATTGAAGGAGGTCAAAATATTGGACATGAACAAAATAGACGCCGGGGTGTCAGAGCCAGGGGAAGCCGTGCCTCTCATGCACAAGGTTAGCTTACACTTTGTACATTTTGCTTTAGCTATTTTGCTTTATCTAAACCAATAATTTCATTAAGGAATTCAAATTTTGGAATCGAATCCTTTTGAGCCTCCTCAACAAGGTAATGGAAATTTTAATTATTAAAAACAGAATCTGATGAAAAAACCGAAAGATAGGTAGTAAAGCAGCTGGGCTATAGCTATATCTCTCCTTTAGCTAGTGCAAAAGTTTAATCGGCGGCAGGGTGGGAACCAGCATCTTCAGTAGACCGGACTGATGTGTTAGCCATTACACCACGCCGCCTACTGCACATCCTTAGGAAATTAATAGCTATATGCTTTACAATATCGTTATTCATTTTTTACATCTACCGTTCTCTACGCTTATTTTGGCAACACAGCTTTGAAAACATTAAAGACATCTCATTTTTTGCGCGGAAGGTTTTATCTATTTGCGCACAACGCTGTATGTAAAGCCGGGAATCATGTGGAGGCAAGGCATAGGCGCGAGCTTGCTTAAGACTAATTTAACGAGAGGCTGTAGACGGCTTTCTTACCGCATGCTCTCTGCTATAGAGAGCGACTATTTGCCAGTTTTGAATAGAGCGTTATAGACGTCGCGCGACAATTTTTAATAAAAATGGAGAGAGGAATACACGTGGATTAGATAATTAATAATTGATTGTGGAGTCGTTAGCCCGACAAAAACATTGAATTTGGATGTTTTATTAAAATTTGAAGTTAAACATATGTAGATGTTGAATTTAATAAAATCTTACTTGAGTTGCATTTAGCTTTCAGGTAGAATAAAAAACAATTGAAATGACAGTTAAAAATACTTTTGGTGGAATCTCAAAAGTATCTCACCTTTCAAATGAAGAATTTAAGATTGACGGAGCTAAGTATGTGCAGGCAAAGTTTGCGGGATTATGGATGATATGTTCTCCTTTTTACATATCCGGTCTCTACGTCTATTTTGGCAATACAGTTTTGAAAATATTAAACACGTCTCATTTTTTGCGTTGAAGGTTTTATCTATTTGCGCACAACGCTATCATATGGAGGCGGGAATCATGTGGAGGCAAGGCTAGGCGCGAGCCTGCCTTCGACTGATTTAAAGAGAGGATGTAGACGACTTTATATTTATTTACGATTCATTTTTGTTTAATATACATAACCCCTCTCTCTATACACTCCACTACTCTTCCCAGTCGACTACTCGATTTCAATTAGGGCTGAAAATTTTATTTCATAAAATTTAAATAAACATAATGAAGAAATATTTGTTTTTGTGTTGTAAAAATCAAGTTTTGTAAAAGTTTTTTACTTGATGTTGCAATAAATTTGAATTTTAAATTTGGCGCAAATGCGCCAGTGGTTTGCTCAAATAAATAAAATAAAAAATAAAGAGGACCTACTCCCGATCCTATAAGGATATTTATTAAAATAATAAATTTAAAAAATTAAAAACTCAAAAAATAATTTTTAATTTTTTAAAGGATGAAGTTGTCTAATTTTCTGATTTTTCTTTTATTTATGTTTAATTTATTTAATTTAACATTTTGCGTTAATGATGAAGGAGGTAATAGATTAAAATTTTAATTAACTGTTTGTATTAATTATGAAAATATTCCTTAAGGATCTTCAAATCCTAATCAAGGTTTTCAACCTCCTCCTGGGTTTGCCCGACGTCGCGGAAATAATGCTCCTCGTCAACAAAGTAGATTTTTTAATAATTATACTAAAAATTAAAGTTTTGATTTTATTAATAAATTTAGATGTCTCACAAAATGCTGCTCGTCCTTTAAGTGTAGTGCCACATAACACAACCGGTAGTTTTTTGGATTAATTGTAAAGGATTACAGTATTCCATTATTAGAATTTCTACCTCTAACATCCTTTAAAAAATGTCCATTTGTAGGGTATTGAAAAATATAAAAGCCTGCCTTTCTAATAAAATAAATACAGTACTTTATTTGCTTTATGGGGTACTTTATTTGCTTTATTATTTGCTTTATTTGCTGTACTTTATTTGCTTTATTTGCTTTATACTTTGAATTGACCATGAAATCATTTTTAGGTTATCAAAGTCGTGGACCATCTAGTCAATACAGCGACCTTATGCAACAACATGTTCAACCGGTCAATTTGACTCCTAGAGAAGATATTCAAAATAGAGCTTCCGATATCAGAACACTTTACGAAGGTAAACATAAATATCTGCGGGAAAGCTTAATTTTATTACCTAAATATATCTACAGCCACGTTTTTCTATCTAGAGGCCAACACTAATCAAGAGAAATCAGGATTTAACTTATAATTTTTTTAAGGGCAGGAAAGAGCTTCCAATTTTGGTTATTTTGCACGAGGGGGAGAGATTCAATTTGGTTAGAATTAAAATTAATTTTTCTAAAAATTATTAAATTTATTGCAAATTATTACAATTAAGGGGGTCAGTCGGATGGTTCAGACAACAATATGATATCATTTACTCAACATGGTAATTTTAATTCTATGCTTGATTCTGCAGTTGTTTAAAATTATTTAAAATTATCAGGGGAATTCGCGCTTAAATTATTATTTATAGAATAATAATATAATAATTTATTTAATTATTCCCCCACATACCTTTTAATTCCCATAATCCCTACTAACACGAACTCCCTAATAACATTTGGAATCAAAAATATTCATGTTTATATCTATTTTAAATTATGAATACCATCCCGAAAATACCTCCAAATCCATCGATATACCTCTTGATCATTTACTGTCACGTAACTATCTTTTGATATACCGATCGTTATCGGGATTTCGGTATTAGCAAGAAATGGGAATCCCGATACCTGTTTTGGCCAATCCCGATTCTTGATGCCGGTATCGGGACCGATAGCAATTTTGTTTTGGGACCTTGATGACGCTCAACTCTAGTATATTTTTAACTCTAGTAGTATATAAAAATCATTTAATAAATGATTTTTAATCCTTGCCCATCAATTGCTTTTGACCATATTGTAATCCAAATAGAAATTAGAATTTAAGGCTTGAGAAGGAAAAGGGGGGGGGGGACGGATAACACAAAAGTATCTTTTGTTATATAAATAAACTTAGATGTACCTATTGCTGCTCAGCCTATACGTGCAGTGCCACATTACCATACAGGTAGTTTAATATATTTTAAAAAATACCATATTCCACTATAAGAATAGCACCTCTAGCACTTTTTTAAATAAGCCACTTTGGTGGATGTTACCATAACAAGGATGGCCACAAAACTTTAGAAATCAAAAATATGCTTGTCAACAGGACCGGTATTAAAAATTAGGGCTGTAATACCGAGATAGTTATTAACACAAATTATCTTATTTTCACTTCTTACTTTTTATTAGCAATTCTTACCTTAACATGGATTTTAATAAAAATTAATTTTATAATATTGAAGGAAGTCAAAATATTGGACTTGAACAAAACACACGCCGGGCAAGCAGAGCCAGGGGAAGCCGTAACTCTCACGGCCATGGTCAGTTTACAATTTGTCTATTTTGATTTATTTAAACCATTAATATTATTCAGGGATCCAAATTTTGGAATCAAATCCTATTGAGCCTCCTCAACAAGGTAAAGGAAATTCTAATTATTAAAATCAGAATCTGATGAAAAAACCGAAAGATAGTTGTTAAAGCAGCTGAGCTATAGCTATTTCTCTCCTTTAGCTAGTGCAAAAGGTTAATCGCAACTGAGTAAAAACCAGCATCTTTA